ATGATGATGAGGATGAGGATGATGATGACGACGATGATGATGATGACGATGATGACGATGATGATGATGATGATGATGATGGTGATGGTGATGGTGATGGTGATGATGATGATGATGATGATGATGATGATGACGGTGATGATGACGATGATGGTGATGCTGCTGCTGATGATGATGGTGGCGGTGGTGGTGATGATGATGAGGAGGAGCCGAGGGATCAAGACGTCGGTCGAAACATGCAGCCCAGAAGGGCCTGAGCAAGAGCCAGACAGGAGAGGGCGCAGTCGCAAGTTCCACCAGCTTGAAGTAACATCTTCGGCTCTGAGAGGCAGAGGGAGGGATGAGGAGCAACAGGGAGGGGGGAGCAGGCGAAAGAGTCGAGGAGGATGGGGAGGATGGCTCAGCAAGATGAGGCTGGAGGCATGCATCTGGGCAAGGCCCCGCGCGAGAACCAGACCGAAGAGGGCGGAACCGCGGTCAGAACCGTCCGTGAGAGGTCACGCTGACGACGGGACGAGGACACGGACAAGGACGGCGGCGGCGAGGACGGCGGTGGCGAGGACGGGGGCGAGGACCAGGACGCGGAGGACGAGGACGAGCTCGAGGAGGACGAGCACGACGGCGACAACGGCTGCGGCACAGACGACAAGGACGTCGACGTCGAGGACGGAGACGTCGACCAGGAGCAGAACACAAGAACAAACAAACAGCACACGCACAGGCGTGAGTGGACAGAACCCCCTTCAGCAAAACGCCCTTTGGTGAAAACGACCTGGGACCAGACCCGGTGGGCGCAGGCCCGCAAAACCACAAGCCGCAACGCCCTCTCAAAGGGCAATCCGCCAACCGACTTAGCAAAGTGGGCATCCATTTGGAGAGGACCGCAGGATACCGATACCGCTGCTCCCGGAGGCCCTCCCCGCGTGCGTTCTGACTTGGATTTCGAGGCGAATCGAGCCGTGGCGAAGGGCCTCGCCAGAGGCGCCAAAAAGGCGGGATCGAGGGGAGAAAGCGCAAGCGGGCACGCCCTGGAGTGCAGCACCAGGAGGCGCCGCTATGGGGTCCCCAACACCGATCCACAAAATTCGCCTGGACCCCCGAGAACCTATGCTTCTGCCATTTGCTCTTATTCTTCTTCTTCTTCCACTTCGACTGGGGGAGAGGGACAGAGAGAGAGAGAGAGAGACAGAGAGAGGGAGAGAAAGAGAAAGAGAGAGAGAGAGAGTGATGTATTTATATACATATACACATACAATGAGAGAGAGAGAGAGAGAGAGAGGGAGAGCGAGAGAGAGAGAGAGAGAGAAATATAACAACGAAGGAGACAGAGGGAGGGAGAGAGAGAGAGAGAGAGAGCTAGTTAGCTATATTTATAGAGAGAGAGAGACACGGAGGGAGGGAAAGGAAGAGCGAGAGAGGCAACACAAATAAAGAGAGCGACAGAGTGAGGGACAGAGAGGGAGAGAGACAGAGGGAGGAAGAGAGAGAGAGAGGGGGAGAGCGAGAGAGAGAGAGAGAGGACCGGAGTGATGGAACAAGAAAGAGAGAGAGAGAGAGAGAGAGAGAAAGAGAAAACACAACTTATAAGGAAGCAAAGGGAGGGTGACCGCTCTCGTTCTACATATATATATATATACATATATATAGATGTATATACATATATATATATATATATATATATATATGTGTAGACGTGTATACGTGCATTCGCATATGTATATATATAAGAGAGAGAGAGAGAGAGAGAGAAGAGAGAGGGAGAGAGCGACATATATATATATACATATATACATATATATATATACAAGACTGCAGTGGCGCTTCGCGCCATGCACCTTGGTCCTTGAAGTGTGGTATGCAGGCGGAATAGCAGGAAGGTCAAGCCGAAACTTTAACGATAACTCCTTGTTGCCTTTTCCGGCACCGCCGCTATAATAATGTGATGAGTTATCCTTCCTCCATGTTTCTTTTTCCTCATTTTCGCCATACCCTGCGCATTCTCCCCATCCTCCTCAGCTCTTTATTGCGGAGGCTCCTCCTTGGAGAGCCTCTGGGGGCCTCACAAAAGTTGTTTCAGGCTTTCTTAATGCTTTCAGGAGGCCTCCTGGGTGTATTCTGGGGGCCTCTGGGGCTTCCTCGGGCCACCCTGCCTCCAACCGCGGTCTCCCTGAACGACCGGGTTACGACTTGGAATGCTTCGGAGGGTGTCGTGGGGCCATCTTGGGCCGCCATGGGGCTCTCTGAGGGCCATCTTGGACCCGTGTTGTGCCGTTTTGGGGTTCTCTTGGACTGCCTGGGGGCGATTTTGGAGCCTCCCAGGCGGCTTCGGACGCCCAGACGACCGCCGTCTTGGAGCGTCGGGAAGCCAAAAAGAGGAGAACCCCACAATTCACCACAGAAAAATTATGATATTTGCCTCTTGGGGCCTTCTTGGGAGTGCTCTTGGAGGCCTCTTTGGGGCCGTCCTGGAGGCCTCTTGGGCCATCTTGAGGTCACGTCGGTCACTCTTGGAGCGCTCTTGTGCTGTCTTGGGGGTCTCTGGGACGTCTCCGATGACTCCCCTGATCGCCCCAGGTGTGCTGCGAAGGCTTGTCAAAACGCCCTGCGAGGCCCCGGGGGCCGCTTCGAGGCCCGTCCGGAGGGTTCCAAAGCCCCAATTCCCGGGAGTCCGGTTTGGGGGGGAGGGACGGGTTTTCCCCCCGCCCGGGTTTATAAAAATATAAGAAGAGGAATACACAGAAAGAGAAAGAGAGAGCGTGAGAGAGAGAGAGAGACATATGGAGGGACGGAGGGAGGGAGGGAGAGGGAGGGAGAGAGAGAGAAAGAGATAGAGAGGGGGAGAGAGAAAAACAGCGAAAAAGACAAACGCGACGTGGGCACCGCCCAGGAACTCGGCTCCCAAGCCTCCCGACCCTTTCCTCGGGGCATTCTTCCCGTCCCTGTTCCATTTTCGATGGCCCTGGGGCCCGACAATACACTGGCCCTCAACGGTCAAAATCTGCGAACAGCAACCGGATCGGAAAAACTACGGGGCTTGCGCCGCAGTTCCGTTGAGACCTCGCGGCTCCCTGTGGGGTTGTGAGGCGTGAAACTGTCGCCACTTTCGTGGGCTCCTGGGAAGTCGCGCGGGGTGGGGTCACACGGGGACCTGGGGGATCGCAGAGTGCGAAAATGTCTCAACTTTCCTGTGCTGCTGGGAAGTCCAGCGAAATGGAGTTGCACGGGGATCCCGTCGAGACCTCGCGGCTCCCTGGGGGGCTGCGAAGTGCGAATGTGTCGCCTCTTTCGTGGGCTCCTGGGAGGTTGTGCGGAGTGGACTCGTACGGGGACCCAGTTGAGACCTCGCGGCTCCGTGGGGGGCTGCGGCGTGTTAAAATCTGTCGCCACTTTCGTGGGCTCCTGAGAGGTCCAGCGAAGTGGAGCTGTACAGGGATCCCGTCGAGACCTCGCGGCTCCCTGTGGGGCTGCGAAGCATGCACCTGTCGCCTCTTTCGTGGGCTCCTGGGAGCGGGGTGTGGTCACACGGGGATGCATGTGGGACTTCGCGGCATCCTGGGGTGGCCGCAGAGTGCGACACTGTCGCCACTGTCGTGGGCTCCCGGGAGGTCCGGCGGAGTGGAGCGGTATGGGGATCCCGTCGAAAGCTCGGGGCTCCATGGGGGAAAGTAAAATGGCAACGCTAATTTTTGTGAACTTCAGAGGGGTGGTCCGGCGGAGTCGGTAGTCACGGGGTCCCGTCGAGACCTCACGGTTGTCTGGGGGGCTGCGACATGTGAATATGTCGCCGTTTTCGTGGGCTCCTGCGAGGTCGCGCGGAGTGGAGTTGAACGGGGACACAATTGAAACCTCACGGTTCCCTGGGGGGCTGCAAAGTGTGACACTGTCACCACTTTCGTGGGAGGTCCAGTGGAGGAGTGGCATGGGGATCCCGTCGAAGCCTCGCGGCTCCCTGGGAAGCTGCCAAAAGGGAACTACTGTCGCCACCTTGTGAACTTCAGGGGGAGGGGGCCCGGCAGGGTCGGTAGTCGCGCAGATCCCGTCGAGATTTCGCGGCTCCCTGGGGGTGGGGGCTGCGAATTGCGTAACTGTTGTCGCGTTCGTGGGCTGCCTGCGGTGTCAAGCGAATTCGCGGTAACTGTCGCTAGCGCCTCACTGGCGCGGGCTCCGACGAGAGATGCAATTGACGGCGACTACTCGCATCCAAAATGGCAGGAGTTCTCACAGCGAGCGGCGCTGTCGCGTCAAGCAGCGCTCGGCGCTGTCGCATCGCAACTCGCAGGGAACCGCTGCGCCACGAAGCGCATGGCGCTGTCTTTTGTCGCGTGGTATCCCATCCTCAACTGTTTCTGGCCCGCCATGCCGACCCGTGCGCTTGCCTCGCCCAGCGCGACCCGCTGTTCTGCTATGGAACGCATGTCGCTGTTTTGTCCCGCGTATGTAGCGCTCGGCGCTCTTGTTGTTAAAATAATTATGCCCCCTCTCACTCTCCTCCGTATGCTTCTGTCTCCGTCCCTATCTTGCCATTCCTGCATGCTTTGTGTACCTCTGAGAGCTCAGGCACACTGCGGGTCCTCCAACCTGTTTGTTCGTATTGAGCGGTCCCAAAGATGTTCGACAATGTACAGGGTTGGGTACGTAACCAGGCAATTCGTATTCTTCTTCGAGGGAGGTGGAGAATACAGAGAAAGAGAGAGAGAGAGAAAGAGATAATACACAACAAGAAAGAAAGAGCAACGGCGCCCATAAGCTGACAGATACGAAAAATGACCAGTTTGACAATCTTGAGATCGTCGGAGCTTTGGCACTCTTCGTCTTTCTCTGGGCAAGCGGACTTTACGAAAGACCCCTGGGATTATTCGTCTTTTTCTTCTTCGTTGTTCCATATTCGCATTATGACTTATAGTTGTTCTCGCTACATGTATACAACAACTATATATGTGTATACACTTGCATCAATATCTATGTGTAAGTACAGGTGGAAGAAAAACTGGGGGCGCCGCCCGTGATCGCAGCACCGTCATGTGACGTCCGCCCGCGGCTGCCGTCCAGCCGCGAAGGCGGAGCCCATGGCGGCCAGGCGCGCGCCAGCGCCCGCGGGCGGCGCCAGCCCTCGCGGCGGCGATGGCGGCCTGCCTCCTCGCCGTCCTCCTCCTCCTCCTCCTCCTCCTCCTCCTCCTCCTTCTCCTCCTCCTGTGGGGCCCCAGACCTCGTCGAGGACCTCATCCCTTCTCCCAAGTTTTGCCCTCGGCCCTCCTCGAGGATCGGGAAAACTTCGAACGTTTTCGGGCGACTATTGGACGCTTTCGGCCCTCTTCGGGCCTCTGGGGACCTCCGTGGACTTCCAGGGGTCAAGATCTGGGGCGGGAGCAAAACGTGCCATTCCCTCCTTCCTCCTCCCCTCTCTCCTCTTCCTTCTCCTCCCCCTCCTCCTCCTCCTCCTCCTCCCTCCTCCTCCTCCTCCTCCTCCTCCTCCCTCGCCTCCTCCTCCTCTCCTCCTCCTCCTCCTCCCCTCCTCCCCCTCCTCCTCCTCCTCCTCCTCCTCCTCCTCCTCCTCCTCCTCCTCCTCCTCATCCCTCCTCCTCTCCATCCCCCTCCTCCTCCTTCTCCTTCTCCTTCTCCGTCCTCCTCCACCTCCTCCTCTTCCTCCTCCTCCTCTTCCTCCTCCTCTAACTCCAACTCCTCCTCCTCCTCCTCCTCCTCCTCCGCTTCCCTCCCTCTCTTCATCATCCGAACCTCCTCGCCAAGTTGAGGGGCAACGCTGGCGGGGTGGACCAGCTCAGGGAGGGAGCGTCGAACCGGAAGCGGCAATGCACCGCCGATAGATCGGGGATGGGCCTTCGATAGCAAATCCGAACAGTCCGGGGCGGGTTCGGGCTATCGGGCCCATTATCAGCGATGAATGGGCGATTGGGGGCCGATGTGTCCCCTCCTGAGCCAAGCCCCCCTAACGATACCTCTGATTGATTACGGCAAGTTCGTGTCGTGGCGACCACCGCGTTCGTTTCTGACACCGCGTGGATCGTTCAGCCTTGAGCGATCGGCGGCCTTTCGCTTGCAAGATCGTTCCATGATGGCCGACAGGTCAATGGTAGTGTTCAACCTTGAACGCCCGCGGCGGGATCGCCGCCGCGTTGATACGACAAGAACCTGCCGTACGTTATTCATCTGGTGCGGCAATGTTTACTCCCGACCCATAGCATCCGCGCAGACCGTGGGGGGGGGGTCGAGGGAAACGAAAGGGGATGGTAGGGGACAACTTATAGGAAATGTTCGTAAGAACGGATTTAGCCCCCATTCAACAAAACTGGCCCAAATGAAATCCAGGATTGAGCTACATCAGGCTGGATTAACAGAGATTAAAGGGACTGAGACGGGATTGTGTTGGATTATTACGGTTTTCGACCACGGATATACAAGCGCCGGTGCTGAATATGACCTCCCAGGAGTTGCATCCTAAGGAAGGGGCCCATCAAAGGGGGGAAGGGTAAGGAGGAGAAGGGCGGGGTAAAGGAGGCGAGGGGGAAGAGGCAAAAAAGTAAGACGTGTGAGGGGCAAGAGGAGGGTGAGGAGGGAGAGGAGAGGGGGGTGGTCATCAACGGCAGGGGGGTCAAGGAATCCCCTGCGTGCGCTTCTCCCGAAGGCCGCTCGGGAGGCGGCCGTGCATCGAGGTGTGCGTCGAGTGTCAAGGGGCATAAGCGCAGGCTGCATGCAGCAGACGCCGCCCCCCCAGCTGCCCAATCCCTCCGCTCGCCCTCCCCGACGCAACGGGACAGCGGCAGAAGAGGCCCCCCCCAAAACATGTCGGAGGTATCTGTGCATCTTGCTCTTTGCAAGCACGCCTCCCCCCTCCCCGACCGCCCCGACCGTGCTGAACGCTCCCGGGGCCCGGCGACGGCACCTCCCGGGGGGGGCGGGGGCCTCCACGTGCTCCAGCTGCCCCAGCACGGCCATGTCCATGTCTTTCCGGTGGCCTGGCTCTCCCGTGCTGCCGGCCACGGCGCCCTGGAGCGTCGGGGGTCGCGCGGCGGTCCGTCTTTGTCGTCGTCGTCTTTGCCTTTGTCTGTCATTGTCGCCGACGACGACGACGTCTTCGTCGTCGTCTTCGTCGTCGAAATTGTCACCGAAGCAGTCGTCGCTGGGAGGAGGAAGGATGGGAGACGTAGAAAGAGGAGGAGGAGGAGAAGGAGGGGGACGAGGATCATGTTGATGATGCTGATGATGATGCTGATGATGATGATGACGATGATGATGATGATAATGAGGAGGAGGAGGAGGAATAGGAGGAGGAGAAGGAGGAGGAGGAGAGGGTGCGAGGGTGAGGTGATGGAGCAGAAACATGCTGATAGACATTATATATATACATATATATAAATATGATGACAATTATGCTGGTGATGATGATAATGATGCTGCTGATTACGATGCTGGTGAGGATGATGATGCTGATGCTGCTGGTGATGGTGATGATGATAATGATGATGATGATGATGATGATGATGATGATGATGATGCTGATTCTGATTCTGATGATGATGATGCTGATTATGATGATGCTGACGAGGATGCTGCTACTGCTGCTGATGATGAGGATGATGAGGATGAGGATGAGGATGAGGATGAGGATGAGGATGATGATGATGATGATGATGATGATGATGATGATGATGATGATGATGATGATGATGATGATGATGATGATGATGATGATGATGATGATGATGATGATGATGATGATTATGATGCTGCTGCTGCTGCTGCTGGTGATGCGTAGGAGGAAGAAAAGGAGGAGGAGGCGGAAAGGACGAGATGCAGGAGGAGATGGAGGAGGGGGAGGGGGGCGGGGCGACAGGGTGAGGATGAGGATGGACGGGAGACGTAAAAGGAAGTGGGAGAGAAAGGGGGATATGAGATGGCGGAGGATCCGGCGGAGGAAACAGTGGAGGGGGGATGATACGGCAGACGATGCTGATGCTTTATATGATGATGAGGGGAACGGAGCAGGAGGACGAGGATGCTTCTTGCAGGATGCCAGAGGTCTGGGTATTGGGCCGTGACTCGTGCAAGAGAATCACACTCTGGACGATTCTGGCCCATCCCAGAAGGCTTTTGACGAGGCGCAACCGCTGAACCACACCCTGGAACTTGAACGCGTTGACTAGTCGGCAAAGCGCGTCCCAATAGCCCCTGGAGACGCCCCGTCCCCACCCTCCTCCGTGCTTACACGCGCGCGCGCGCTGAGAGGAGGATAAAGGAGGAGGAGGTGAAAGCACGAGGGAGGATTGTGACGAGGATTCAGAAGGAGAAGGCTTCTCGTCGTCCTCCTCCTCCTCCTCCTCCTCAATCTCCTCCTCGTCCTCCTTGTCCTCCTCGTCCTACTCCTCCTTCTCCTCCTCCTCCTTGGCCTCTCCCTCCTTGTCCCCCTCAGTCTCCTCCTCCTCCTCATTCTCCTCAGCCTTCTCCTCGAGGTCCGTGGATCTGGCGCGTGGGCGCCAGATCCACGGATCGGGTTTACCATGAAACCAACGCCGCCTGATTTGGCGACGGAGAGCGCCGATTCTGTACGGAAATGGGCCCGCCACTAATCCACGCGCCTTGGTCCATGTTTGCGCTTGAGGAATTCTGGTGGAAACGAGTCCTAGGATTCGCGTGGATCTTTGAGGGTCCTGGGGCCTCGGGAGGGCGCTTGTGCTCCACCACAACAGAGAAACAACACCAGGACCCCTCTCCTCCATGACGCCACTTCCTTCACGGCGATCAGTCTCATGATCCTCCTCCTGCTGCTTCTCCCCATCGTCCCTTCTTTCCCCCTCGTTCCTCCGCACCCCTCCTCCTCCTTCCTTCTCCTCCTCCTCTTCCTCCTCCTCCTCCCTCCTCCCTTCTTCCTCCTTCCTCCTTCCTTCTTCCTCCTCACTCCTGATCCTCCTCCTCCTCCTCCTCCTCATCCTCCTCTCCCTCCTCCTCACGCCTGCCCGCCTTGAACCAGGTTTCGTGTCCTCGACAATTCCGAGAGCGGGGTCCACGTCTGGCCGTGGCGGTACTGACCACCCGCGAGTCCCAGACGACGCGTACATTCGGAGCGGGAGCCAGCCGACAGAATGACACCACCAGCCCATCAGACAGCGCGGACCACCCCCTTGACACCAGTGGCAAGAATGATCGGGAAGGCCTTGTGCGAGACATGCCCGTCTCATTCCTTCCTCCTTCCTCCTCCTCCTCCTCCTCTTCCTCATCCCTCTTCCATCATCCCTCCTCAATCCCCTCAATACCCCCTTCTGCCTGCCGCCACCCCTCCTCCCTGGGGGTTGCGATCCACCACGCACGCTTTTTCACACCAGGCCTGGCTCAAGGAGGGGGAGGAGGGAAGATAGAGCAGGCAGGTAACCGAAGATGAAGAAGACGGGGGTGCGGCTGGGGGGTCCCTCCCTTCCCTACCTCCGTGCCCTGGTTGTTTTCGGGTCAAACCTCGGCTCTCTGGCGGTCGTTCGGGGCGATCTGGGCACCACAGGAGAGCCTTCGGCGATGCGCAGCTGCTGGAAGGCACTCCGAAAAAGCCGACGCGGACCGACGAAAGCGCCCGGAAACAGTAGACCCGGGATCGGCGATACATCGCCGATAGATCGGCGATAGGCCCTCGATGGCGAATCCGCACATTCCTGGGCGGGGTGGGGCTATCAGACCTCTATCGGCGATCAATTTGCGATTGGGGGTCGATGCGTTCCCCTCTGAGCCTATCATCCGTAACGTTCCCCGAAATCTCGTGGCTCCCCAGCGGCCGCTCGAGACGATCTGGGCATCCCCGGAACGCTTTCGGCGAGGCGCAGCTGCTGGAGGGCACTCCGAGGCTGGAAAGCCGAACAAGACAGACGGAAGCGCCCGAAAACCTCAACCCTCGATCCTCCCCTCCCCTCCCTCCCTTGACCACGCGCGGCGCCGCCGCCCCCGCCCCCCCCCCCAAGATGGCGACGTCCGAACCCTGCCCCCCCAACGAATTTGTGGGTAGGGCTCGGATTTCGCCACGTGA